TAAAGAAGAGAAGACAAGGAGTCGAACGAACATATTTTACAAAGGAAGCACAACTCTAAACTCTAAAAACTACATGAAAAACTATACGATTTTTACGCCTAGTAGACAACGCGGGTGGATTCAAATTCGAGTTCACGATTAGAGAGCAGCCCATTAAAACCTAGGTAGAGGTGGTCAGTGATGCCGGATGAAGAAAAACCATGAGAAACGGCCCAGAACCCGAGAAATGGGACCCCTTCCTTGCCCGTTGATTTGAGCATTGATGCGACTCTCATCGGTGCTGCCCTCTTCAGTGCTAATGCTCTCTTTCTGTCTCTCTGCCGAATGACTAGAGACCTGCTTGTCAGCCACTGGATTAGCGTACCGCGATATAGCGCCGCGGGGACTGCCATTTTAAGTCACCAGGGACATATCCTTTCCGGGGAATCCCATGTCATCCCGCACCCTTTAGTGTCTATCAAAATCCAAAACAGAAACTAGACCCAACTTTTCAACGTTCTTTTTAAAGCAACAATCCAGGAACGAATTCGCGGGTAAGGACCACCTATAATGACGTTGCAGGTGAGAAGTTGGTCAATGGAGAAAGAAAAAGTAGAAAAAAACGTCGGGCAGGGGCTTAGACAGGGACTCCCCTGCCGTTTAGGGAGATGTGTGTTGGACGAGTTGTCCGAACCTGCCCGTAGTACATGCGCTCCAGTTGACTGCTGGCAAATAGCCATGCATGCTTGCAAATACATAACTATTTGCCAGCAATCGAAATTGAAGCGCTTCAATTGCGTTCTTATGGAATCGACCTCATACAGCGCGGCGGTCCCGCAACGACCGCTAGTCGAGCAAGCGCTCTGCACAGCGTATGTTGGGCGATCCGCCTCTTTATGGGTGATCCGCCCCCTCCAAGAGGACTTCGACCCCTTCCAGCGCATTTTAGAGGTAGGTTTTGAAATTAAAGACATTTCCTATAAACTTTAGTTGGGCTGGGGCATGTTTTGACCGCCTAATGACCAAGTAGTTGAAACCCTGCCTGGACTGTTGCTTTAAGGTCAGGTGGTTTTAAAGCTGCCCAGCGAAGTAACGAGGGCTAATGGTGGTAAAATTTCCATCAGAGAAGTTGAAGCAACTTGGATCAGGTCTTCAGCAATCATCATTGATCCATTCCTTACAGCCATGGATACAATTTGGGAGTCGAACGCGTGGCGCATCTTAAAGGGATAAATAGTATTAATTTTAAATCTGTTCCAAGTACCTGCAGCAGCCAATACTTGATACTATTTCGAGTTCTTTTGTAGTTCTTGTCACGTGTACCGTAATGTTTGAGTGTTGACGGTATCAGGAAGGGATGGTGCGCGACGCGATGAGTGGCCCTATCTGTACTACCACACTCAACACCAACCCCCCCCACCCTTTAAGACGCTTGGCGAATGAGTCGAGATCGATGGGCAGCGTCGTATACGCAGGTACGGTAATTCCGCCTCCAGTAGCGATCTTAGTTACTTGGAACGAGGCGATCTACTGGGCTTGCGAGTAGGTGTTCAGTAGCTCGCATACCGTCCGCACCCGGCCCCGGTGTAGATTACTTCCAGGCGGATCTATAGCTTTTAATGCGCCAGCCCTATTTATAGTTTTTGAAACTATAAATGGGGCTGGCGCCCTTCCACTGGTGCATGTGAAGGCACTGCGAGCGCCGGTCCCAGAAATTCGACCAGAGCCGGATGTCCGTCGAGAAAACCTGAAACTTAAAGGCAAGATTCGGGATAAAATAGGTGTCTAAAAGCGTTCAGTCATGATACTAGAGGTGGGAGGTGGTCTATAAAAGAGAAGAAAGCAAACGAAATCACAGATTACGCCCCGTACAGAAACCTCCCCTATTTCAGCAACATTCCACCTTGGGATAGAGAAAAGGCGCGTTGGACGAGTTTCGCGAGCCTGACTCTAGTTGCTCCAGTGCCATTGACACAGGATCGCGGTGGGACCGCTGCCTCAAATGCGCCCGCGCTTTTCAAGCAGCGCCACGTGGCAACGGACAGCGGAGGGTGGGGCTTGCGGACGAAGGTGTGAGTTGCAGGTCGGACGAGCTGCTTGTGCCTTTGTCGCGCACTTTCAAGCGGCAAAAGGGGTGCGACAACAACACTTGTCCGCCTGCCTACAGAGTCAACCCTGCGTTGCGCAGTTTTCAACGGCCACGTTGCGCAGTTTCGCCCGATTAGACACGTTCTCTCGCGCGAACATTCACACTCGCATGCTCGAGCCGTCTGTGTCTCCGCCCATACAGCGTGCGTTGAGGATCTCTCAACGTGCCGTTGCGAACTGCTGCCTACCCCCAGGATGGAAGAGGCAAGCGCGCCTAATCGTGGAGCGCGCCTTAAAAGGAATCTTCCACGGACCATGGACCAGTGGGCGGGACGGAAAGTGGTTTTGCGACGAAATGCATGGTAGGTACGGATCCACGTTCATGGGAAGGTTTGAAGTGAATCCTGTTCACGTTCGTGCGTTCGACACGTGGATCCGTACCTACCATGCATTTCGTCACAAAAACTTCCGGTCCCGCCCACTGGTCCATGGTCCGTGGAAGATTCCTTTAACGAGCAGGTGAAGAATGCTTGAAGATTCTCCACGGATTTTCGGAGCCGTAGATGGGGCAGCGAGGATAGAGGTAGCGGAGTAAAAGGTGGAATTTGCTTCTCCACACATTGCTTCTTCTCGATGCCAGTTTAGAGGAGTTTTGGGAGTGGGCTTTGAATGTGTCAAAGGTTCAACAAAGTTATCAACAGCACCTAACTTCTCCTTAATTGGCGTCGAGCAGAAAGCGCAAAGAGGGAGGGTCATATCTAAGCATTCATTAGAAGGAGGCCGTGATGCCACGGCCATTCTCTCGTGGTTATGTTGCCGGACCGGTCATGGAGGTCGTGCAATACTTTAGAGATCAACCTTCCTATCCAGAGTATAGCGAATTTCTAAGGATTTTAACATTTCAGAATTTAAGAATTCAACGAGAGTTCAGTATTTATACTGTCTCATCAACTCTGTTCTATTTTTGCCCCAGTTTACGAGCTTTTTGAGTAAGTGTGGGATAAAAACGAGAGAATGACAAGAAGAGGCACTGTGCTCGATGCTGATGTCGACCTGGCCAGTGGCCTGCGATCCAGTGACAGAATACTACCTTGCTTTCGTCTGATAAATAAACCCGTTAGTCGGCTCAGTCCGAGTACGTGTCTAGGAAGCTTCAGCCAATACGGTCCCCATTCCCCGAGATAGGATCCCTCTCCTCTCTTAACAACGCTCACTACTCCTTCCTCTACCTTCCGAAGGTGGAGGTTTCAGCAGAAAGTGTGAACGGGTGTCGTAAAAAAGGGTTACATTTGACAGGGGGGTTGTCGAAAGTTTCACGAGAGAAGGGTGAACTAGACGAAAATGGTAGATTTGCCGCCTTTCATCATATGGGTTTACACCATCTCCCCTTTACCGTAAGCAAACCAGCCCTTTTGGCGTTTCTGCTGGGCCGTATGCTGAATGTTGGGGAGGGGATGGGGTCCCCGACGGTCGACGGACCACTTCAACTCGGTCCTTAGAACCGCCACAATTTGGTGCTTACCTCAGAACTAAGCCTTAAAGAGAGGACGGGTCCGTCCCCTCTCCAAGGCTTAGTCCTGGGGTGAGCAAACCAGCCCTTCTGGCGGAGCTGCTGGACCAGCTGCACCACTTGCGTCAGTACTCTCCTACCGTACCAACCGAGTTGAAGTAGTCCGTCGGGGACCCCATCCCCTCCCCAACATTCAGCATACGGTCCCAGCAGAAACGCCAAAAGGGCTGGTTTGCTTACCTCCCCTTTACCTCCCCCCTTCCGGCCACCGCTCGACCGTTCGACGGCTGTTTTGCAGGAAAAAGTGGGCGAAGTTGGTTATGTCGACTGTTCAGCATCAAATACTATAGAAACGGTCATGATGGTGAGGGCAGCATCGATTTAGGGAGGAGGATGTGCATTGGAGGGGGGCCTTCTGAGACTGATAGTGGTGGTGAGGGGTCGCATGGAGACCCCTTAAAGGAGGGCGGGTCGCAAAATTTTTGGAAAAGTACGATTGCGACAGTTACAGTTGACCCTGGTTCAGATGAATAGGAAAGAGAGGGGCTAAAAACAGAAGTTGAACCAAATATTTATGCTTATTACCAAAAATATCTGAAATATCGTCGTCCTCCAGATTCAGCTCGCCGTACTGTTTCTTTCCGTTGTGTGATATGTTGTATGTAGTGCAGACTTACTGCTAGTAATTCGCATGGCGTCAGAGAAAACAGCACTTGAAAGCACCGAAGTTATCGATTTTTGGAGGCCATAGCCGAGTCTGCAATCACGACATATCTCACAGCGGAAAACACATATCTCCATTTTTAAGATTGGAATCAAATCGTGTCGATGGAGCTTTGCTTTTATCGTAAAGCAAGTAGCTCCAGAAACTCTGAGTGTACCTCGTAGATTTCTTTGCTACATACTGTACAGGCCATGTCCTAGGCTCTCAATTGCCTCCAATGAAGTCCTGAATTGTAAACTTTCACTGTATCCAAGCTCGCGTTCGAGTTCCAAAGAGGTATTCGTGGATATAAAGGAATTTCCCACTGAATGGTGAATAATTCAGAAAGCAGCATTTGTCTGCACCTACAGACAATACGCTTTTCTCACGACATGTCGTCATTTTACAGTACCCAAGCACTGCAATGGTTCCACGCTGGACATTCAAATTTCTTTCGGCCAACAGCCATACGCCGATCATTGTTTTCCTCCATCTTTGTGATGACTGACCCTTTGGTGCCTGTTGCAACTGCGTGATTGATCGATGGTTACAGAATGCATTTCGGGCCTATTTTGTTGACGTTCTACTCGCTATGCCTTTTTTGTCAGTGCAAAAATTGACCATCAAGACGTGAAGCATATTCATAAGACAGCAACGAAGCCCAGAATGGAAGCCGCTAACAAGCACATCGACTTTGATCGACATACGGAAGTCATGTGAGTCTTTTCTAATTTTTTTTTGTGCAAGTGTTCTGCAAGGTTATTGATTGTGGCAAATAGGTGGGTAATTCCCGAAAGTAATTTCTCTTTTTCTGTGTTATAATTGCGAAAGGTGGTCTGATGCTGTGTCAGTTGGGGTGACAGTCGACTTTTGAAATACTTAATCGCATCTTATCCATTTTATTGCATGTCAATCAGGTACATAAGTCAGCCTATGTAACAAAATGGATCTTTACACACCTGATACGGAAAACTTAGGGCCAAAAAGGCTAGAATAAGCAACGTCTGGAGAAGAGAAACATAAAAAATATCGAACGGAACTGAACTGCTTCCTTAGGTGTCAACGTTACTTACTGGTGTTGCTAGGACGTGAAGCGACTTTTCCAACTCACGCAGCAGGAACTTTTGCGGCAGAACCTTAGGTTTGCTCGTGATTAGAGGTGGACTTGGGGCCCCGCAGCAAAAAATTTCGTGCCGGAAAGCAAACAAGTTGCCTCCTGAGAATACTCTACTTACGTTAATTACATGTCAACCTCGCGAGTTTCTTCTCTTACTTAAGGTAAAGCGAACTCTAGTTAGTGAGCGCAATACAAGTTTTTTCAAAAGGCTGTCTTCTATACATAAATCGGCATGCCACCCTGATATCAACATTAGCACCGGTGGAGTGCAATCATCGCATTAGACATTCTTGTTGGTGCCAACTTTCTGACAACAGGTTGACGACAGGCTGACGCGCAAGCGTGTCAGACATTTTGCACCGCATTGGACATTCTGACGCGCATGCGTGTCAGCATCTTAGTACCCAAATTTCCCGTGCATGTCTGACTTCTTCCAAAAATTTTTATCACTGTTATATAAGCAATACATCATCATGCCTGCACACTGTTTGGTCCATGAAGAGGTCGAATATGCTTTAACTGAGCGAAGATTTTCTGAACCTAACTAAATTTCGTTTAGGTTAATCTCTTGACTACTATTTTGAGGTAAACAAGCCTAAAAACAAAATTTAAATTCAAATAAACAGGGTGATAAATAATGTCAAGGGATCACGGTTCTATGGCTGAGATGGCTTTTTTTTTCATTGAAGCGGTCTGTACAGAGAAATTTTACACAGTTTTCAGCGCGCGTTTTATCTCCTTTACGTTTTGGGGCGCAAGAGATTTAGACAGCTTGTAAATGTTCTAAACGCTTTGTGCTGTCAATTCCTTTTAGACCTTTACATACTTCTTCTGACATTTGTCATGTGGCAAGCAACTGGCTTGAGAATTATTTACGCCACGTTCAGCGATTCTCCATTTATATCGCGGCAAAGATAGTGTGATCATGTCGCATATTCCACACCTTTCCACGCATGTCATTCGAATCGCCCGACCCTTCTCGCTCCCCATCCCCCGAGCTGGCTATACTCCTGCAAATCATGGATTCCTTATTGTGCATTGATGTCATCACTAGAATTTCGCTGAGAGGGCACAGACAAGCAGCATGCGTCTTCCCCGGAAGCCCTCTCCCCTCAATAGCGTTGTACCCTTGTTTTGCCACTTTTCAGTTCTTGAGTTCTGAAAAACGCCTTCGTGGGACAAGCTGACACGTTTCGCGCCGTCAGGCGGCAAATTCCGCCAAAAGCGCATTCCATAGAGGCCGAAAAAGCAACATGCACTGTCGTCACGTATTAAGTGGCTTGCTGAAGGCTGAACGTTTGCTCAGACCCTACTTAGCGAAAGTTTTCTCCTGCATTAATCTTTTCTCTTATTCCTAGATCTCAGCTTCGAAGAGTTATTAGTTTTTCAGAATTTCTACCATTATTTTTTCATCATTGACCCTCCATCATTACGGGTTCGCGAGCACTGTGCTATTATAAAGATGATCAGAGTTCGGTCTTACTGTATCATCCAAAATTTCAACAACTGGGTAATGTTTCCGAATGTCCTGCATACTGAGTTCTAAAGTATTGGCGCACCACAATTTTACATCGTTCTCTTGCCCTTCCTATTCTGGTGGTCGATCAGCCGGGAAACTTGCCGAGAAAGTTTTCCACCTTCCCTAGCAAGACATGATAATGAATTGGTTAATCTAGTCCTTTTGGCTAGGGATTTTTGCAGGTAATGCGAGTTTTGTCTCTACACTTGGTGAAGTGTGTGATCCTAGTAAAGGAAGAGGAGGTACATAGTTTGTACGATATGTCTGCGATTCTGGTTCCCACATGATTCAAGCAGTTTTTTATTGCGACACTCCTATATTAAGTTTAAAGTTGGCTTCAATCCCCGAAAGCAGATGGCTGGGTGATTCCCTTTTTGCTTGTGTAAGTTCGGATTTACAATTTTTGTTTCGAATTCGCAACCTACAAGTTCATTACTAGCTCCCCACAGTTCTGAAAAATTTCGACTATAGTCTTTTCAAGTCCTTTTCGCCTATAGCCAGCCCGAATTCCGTACCGTGAGGTCATTTCGCACCACGACTATGCATGCTTTGAGCACTGAATATGTCCACTCTTGTGCTTTAATTAATATCTGCGCGCATCTCTTCCAATTAGTCTTTGCTGTACAGGTATCGTGCCATTTTACGGCTGGACAAATCTGCCGCATTCCGAGCTTGATAACGGGGTATTCATCCTAATATGTTTGTTCTGTTCCACACTGACCAGAGAGTTGTTTGCTTAGTTGTACTTTTGGTCTTTTCAACAAAAACATCTGACGTGCACCTTTGTTATGCGCGTAACGTCGTACACCATTCTGGACGGCTCAGGCCTGCGCAGCGCAAATTAATCCTTGTTTCTAACAGAACACGCGATGAAGGGCGCGTTTCCATGGCCCATTGGAGAAGGTGCTTCTGCTTTCTCTTTATCCGCCTCCACTTTAAATGCTGATGCTTAGTTTTTGAACTGCTTAAGGTCTTAATTGAGAAATGTAGTATGCCCACCATAAGAGCTTTAGGACGCTCCGCTTAAGTTTAAGCTCATCCCAGTTTTAGATAGTTAAATAACTAAATAGTTATAACTTCTCAACAAAATGTTTGATAAATTGAATTGCGCTAGATCACTTTCCTTTTCTATTTTCACCGCACAGTCCCCCTCCTTACCAGAAAGGTCTTTCAGGTCATGCTCCGCTGAGAAACGGTCTTCTCATGATGTAGAGGAAACATGCACAGAACACAACTATGGTTCCTTTTTTCCTGAAGCCCTCTTGATGCCAGAGAAGGGTTAAAAAGACTCAATCCTTACTTTGACTCCCGTCTTTCAGCAAATCTTTTTTCGGTTACTGAGGGTGCTTATGATAATATGGCATTTATTGCTAGCCATGGGTATCATTTTTAAGCATCTTGCGGGCGTCAAACAAAAATGCAAAACTTCATCATCGCAGAGATTGAACCTTAGGCCAGTCCTTCCCCGCTTTTTGGCGTTCCCTGGGCCGTTCAGGAAAAATGAAAGTGAATGAATGAAAAGTTCTGTATTCCTTGCACATGTCTCTCCATACTGCAAAAAAACGGTTTTGAAAACGAGGGTCACGATCTGAATGACCTTCTTGTTCAAAGCGACCCAACTGTTCTGTCTTTGGCAGTATCCTCAACAAACACCCGTCGATTGCGTTAAAGTTTTGTTAACACATTGACGACATCGAAGCACGTTTGCACGTCTCAATTTCACCCGTTTCTAGCTGGTTTTTTCGATTTATCTGGCATTTTCCTTATTTCAAAACTATAATGCATTTTCATATCGAAATTTTAACCATCATTAACCAGTATGAAATATTGAAAAGGTTATGGTAAGTTGGTGATAGATAAAGAAAATAAAATAAAGACGAGGTGCGAGGTAATCGCACAGCGGGGGGGTCGTCAATGTAATGCTTCTCGCTTCGTTGCATTGATCCCCTAATTTAATAGATATGGATTCAGGTTCCCCCACCCGTCCTCAAGAGGTAGTCCAAGCGTGAAACAACTTAACAATTTCTGCACAACTGTTTCCGCTCTTTTGGCACCTGGTGCCAGTGAAGATTCAGGAAGAAGAAGTAACGCTGCATGTAGTGCAGCTTGTTTCATCGCTAAAATGTGGTGTCCTCGATGAGTAATAAGGAGGACCTGCTGCATGATTTCCAATAGCGTTTTTTGTCGCCGTCATCGCCGATTTTTATTCGTCGTGGGTAGTAAAATTCTTCAAAGGGCGTCGAAGCTTCTGAGAGTTTTTCCCAGCTGCCAAGTGTTCATCTGTTGAAATATCTTCAACACTACATTTTGTTATGTTGTTTCTATCCTTTAATGTACTCCCTGTTTTGTCCATTTTATGTTGTGTGTGTTAAGTTCTCAGTGAATCCATTGTTGTGCAGATACGGAGCTTTTCAAGGGAAAACGCCGTGATCAACTTGGAGCGATCGAATCCATCGTGAATATTGAAGAATCAAAGCGAAGGCGCTACGTCGAAGAGGTGTGGGAAATTCAGTGTTTTGCTGGTTACCATGTACCATATGTAGTGCAAGTTTCTTGCAATAGTGTCACTATATGAGGAAGACAAGTTGCTCCTTTCAAAAGGGGATAGAGTAGGTAGACATTTCTCATGAATTTTTCTGATGGCTGTCTGCTTCTCATCGAGAGTCATAATTATAATCGAGAATCATAATTCTAAAGGAGCTACTTCGAGTAGGGAACAGTCATTATCGATTAGTGACTTTTGGCCAAGGAAAGAGCCCTACCAAAACCTCAGCTTATGATTTCTCTCCTTTTCCTCCAAAAATATATATTTCAATTAGATGCTTATTTTTTTCTGGCGAGTTAGACTCCCTTGATTACAACTAGATTGCCTTCTGTTTCCCTTTCTCGGAAAATGAAGAAATCTCTTTCTATTCGAATAATGAGAACCATTCCTAAGTGCACCGTGGACCCCTTCTTCTCTCATTGGATAGTAGTTCAGGAAACGTTGCTTGTCCCAAGAGACTTATGTGTACATTCTTGCAGAATTAATTGCATTTTAACTGTTTTATAGGTTGTGAAAAATGTAAAGGATATTCTCAAAGAAAATCGAGAGACATTGGAAAGGATTGGGCATGCGGCATCTGAACCATATCCTCACGACAGTGAAACGTTAACAAATGCCATATCAAAGGTAAGTTTCTATATCCGACGAAGTATTTTAGAAGTTCAACAGTTTCTATTTCAATACGAGGTTTTACTTTTGAGTTGTGAACAGATTTCATATTTTCCATGAAAATTTGTTGGCTTTCAGTGATTTAGTAGAAATGCTCCACCATTTGTTTAGCCGCACCTAACCCAAATACTCTCAATCTGAGAGGCAGATATGGCAGAAATTTATGTTGAAGTTTTTGTGTAAGGGAAACTATTCTGGAACCCCGTTTTGAATATTGGCTCACATTAGCAAGCCCTTGTATAGCCCGGAAACGCATTAAAATGTCCCTACGTTTCTGAATTGTTATCGATTCGTCATATGACAACAACAGACACCAATGTGACTCGAAAGTCGCTGTCAGCTCTTCAAGCACATGCTTCTCATAGTTAGCTTCGTCTATGCCCACGCTACCACTTTCCTTTTTTCGTAAACCTTATTTCAAATCCAGATTAAGCTGAGAAAGTTGTCGTGTTGAGCCGAACGTTTGCTGGACTCGGCACACTTTTGCACGCACCAAAACCGATTGGGATACCTCCAGACTTCTGAATTGTTGCTGAGTGCGCTTCGCAGACAGATTCATCGAGGCAAAACATCTTCTCCTTTTTGTCTATCGGCACGAACCCATAAGTGTTAAAAGAAATATAGTTGTTGGCTCCCGTAGCCATGTCGACCGCGAGCGAAGTAGTTGGCATTTTAGGTTCCTCTATTGTTTCGAAGAGATCTTGCCCTATTTGTTGACCTTGACTTTCAATATAATTGTTTTTGTAGAGTTGTTCAATTTTTTGAGCCTAGGGAGAAGTTATATAAACGGCAAGGAGATTGTGTTACACTTGCCTTCCGAAGTTTTTCTTCCATTTCCCCTGTTCGTCATCACTTCTTGCCAATATTAATGCCACTTCAGGGCTGTTTTGAGAAATTAGTTGTATCGCTGAGACTTTTTTTCAGGTGCTTGAAAACATCGCATTTTTCTCGGATCTCTCTTTGAGGTTCCCATTCCTTGAAAAGGTGATGCAGAAAGATCGCAAGTTGCGGACAGACGTTGTTTGGGCATATAACTACGCTAAAGAAACAGGTAATCATCTCACAGTAAGATCATAACATCAGCAGTGTAAAGTTGGCTGAACATTTCCATATTGAAGGTCTATGTGACGCTGACACCTACAAGATCCTTGAAATGATGGCACAACAGCAAGGCATCATTCCAAAGTCTGAAAAGTGGGTTTGCAAGATTCTATTTCATTGATCACTTGCCGACTGAGGGGTGGATTAAGATTTAAGGTTTCAAATCAGTATTGTTTAAGGTTCGTTAACCCGTATGACAAAGAGCAGGCTAAGAAAGATCTTGAAGAACGTGCTGCACAAGAACAAGAAAGGCGAGCAAAGGAAAAGGACACGAAGATCACCAAGAAAAAGAAGAAAAACGAACCCAAGGCAGAACTTTGAAAGCATTCCCATTAGTTTGAATCTCAGATGAATCTCTTGGAGAGAATGTTCCTAAATTAATAGGTCTCACGTTGTTTCGTTTTAGCTAGTCAGTGGTACTCATTCACTTCACTTTCGGTTGTGATTACTTGTTGTACAATCATATCGTGCCTTATGCAGAACTAATAAAGATATTCTCTATGCATATAGTTCTTTTGTGGAGGTTGATTGCCTCAAGTAAATACCGCTTTTTATCTTCGTTTCTTATTTTTTATCTTTTTTTCCATTTGTCGCTGTATCTTTGCTGATATTAGGAATCCTTCGCTCATTTAGATGACAGAACTTTCGCTTAAAGAATTGAGGGATCTCGCCGATGATAACGAGATCGACTTGTCGGCGCGAGGCCTCACCGCTGTGCCCAAATCGTTGCCACAGGTTCATTTCATCTTTAGGCTTGGGAAATAACCTTTCAATGGGACTTTTATTTGGCAAATATTTTTTGGGGGCTAAGCCATTCCTATCTTCATTCTTTGCTTTCCATATGCAAGGATATACAGTTCTAGGTTCCACGATTGACCCATGTCGATCTAGGGTCCAACAAAATTACGGTTCTGCCGTCTTCGTTGTGCACAATGACACGCCTCGTGAGGTACTGTTGGTTAGAGTCGTGGTCGACATCTCCTGAATCATTTTGAGTTTTAGACTTGAGTTAGGCAGCAATCTGTTGGATCACCTTCCCGATAACATTGGAGCCCTTGTACATTTAGAACATCTCGATCTTTACAATAATCAAATTGAGGTTGGTTCTTTCTAAATCGAAGAATATCTTCTTTTTTTGCATTCAAGAATGCTCTGCCAATTTGAAAATGTTGGTATTTCATGGTGCTTGTTATCCTTTTTGTCACTATAATTTTTTTTATCGGATCACTAGTTTTGGTTCCAATCGCGAATGTGCAGTTACATGTGCAACTGTGCAGCATTTTCGTGGCTAGGCTCATTTTGGACTTATCAGCAAAACGCGTGGCATAAAATTGCATCAACAGCGCCGAGAAGTACGTGCGATACCAATTTTTCGAAGCTGTTACAACGCCATTTGGTCTAGTGAGACTGTAATTACGACATATATAGCGGTGGGTCAAAGTGTAATTATTTTGTAGGAAGTTGGGATTGTGAGAAACCTTGCACGTTGAATGGAAATGTCACTTATTCTCAGTAATTATGTGTAATTGAAATACTAAAAAAAACTGTCTAACGATCAGTGGTCGCAGAGAAGCTCATTAGTTTTTAAAGCGCAATTGTTGCGACATTTTTCTCATTGAGCTGACAGAATATTGTTACTTAGATGCAATATTATATGTGTCTATATAATATCTATATACCGCCATGCACATTGTTTACAGTTAAAGTACGATAGCGCAGCAGTCGTCTTTCCCCTTGCTGCCTCCTCTGTAAATGTGCGAAAGATAAGCCGCCGAGCGCTGCTTT